GGTTCGTCAGTGTTGAGTGCGTGTAGGAAAAGGTATCGATGAGACCGTGCAGTTCGCCTCGGGAGTGAACTTCGCGAGGACTGTCGTTCGTTCCGATTACACAAGCCTTCACAACTATACCATTTCTCGGCCAAATTGTCCTCTTGGGCAACAGGACTCATCTGAGGGGGCATTCAACATGAGTCTACGCAGTTAATTTGTTCCGTGCGTATGCCAGTCAGTTGTGCAGGTGTGTAGGTGTGCGTGTATAGCCCGTCGCCTTTAGCTCCTACGCACGGAATAAATTAATTGAGCAGACTCATGTTGAATGCCCCTCAGATTATTTCTATTGCCCAAGAGGACAACTTGGCCGGGAAATGGTGTAGACCGTTATCACATTTCCCCCAAATATGTTTTGGCCGTTTCTTATCTCTTCCCTGCCTACGTAGCATCTCTATGGTTATGCCGCGCCACAGGAAACAGTAAGTTGCTGTCTCGTGTCGGATGACAAAAGACTGGATTGTTCAAATCGCAAACCAGCTATTTCATCGTCATTGACATCCTCCAGATATGCCTGGTCATTTATCTTTGAAATGAGTCAAATTAGATCAATAAATGCGCTTTATGCACCCGAGTAGGTGCATTTGCAGTATTTCACGATAGCTACTGCTGTTGAACTAAAATAGCACCACAAAGTCTGCCAAACTGTATGCAAAAGCGCCTTTTGATAATGCTCTGAATGGGTTCATGAATTCATGACCGAAACCAACAAACCGCGTAGTACGCGCAGTATCTCAAAGTTCTTTCCCAAAAATTCATTTTTCAACAACTTACTGGTATTCAAGAGAGCCGAATCATTGAAAGCTAGGCCCCGGTCGTGGTTACATCGACTACATATTTACCCTTCGCCAACTGTTAGACCAGAGATACGCCCATAGATTACCAACTATGGTGGCTCTCCGTGTCTCGAAAGCCGCATTAGACTCTCTTGATCGAGCCAGCTTGTAACACTGACTGTCCGTGAAAGAAGTGCCTGAGAAACTCCTTTCCACTCTGATGCAATTGTCTACGGTAAGATGTCCCCTTAGTTCTCCACGAAAAGTTGAGTTCGCCAATTTTATAATCAAAATAACCATTATTGACCACTTTCAGACTCTTCCAGAGTTGCATTTCTGCCAGGTGGCCAAGTGACAAACCTTGATTATATGCGGACGACATAGTTTTCCCTCGGTTTGACGTAGCGACTATACAAGTACCGTGTATTACCGTGTATAACCCGACAATATAACTTTACAACGTCAAATTTATCCAAAATTGTAAGTCCGTATATTGGCCGCCGCCAAAAAATATCAGCAAAATGAGAAACGGAATTGTTTCTCACGATTTTGATACCATCACTACCTGCTCTCACTTGAGTCTGCTCAAACGAAAGCTGCTCTACTGTTGCTCAGTTCTGGTGACCTAATGGGTTATGTTCACAGTTAATGGGGCTTAGAGTCGTCAGAACAAAAATTTTAACCGCACTGGACATTGCATTCATTAGATAACAAGTCACCCGAAACAGGTCTTCCTCGGCCTGGGCAACTGGGAAGCTCTCTGCCCACACAACCCATGGATCTTCGCATCCTTTCCCCTGACACTTCCTCCATTTTGTTCTCGTTACTCATATGTGGTGGCACTCTGCCAAATGTTTATTGATCAAGTATATATATATAATGTATATATATATATATATATATATATATATATATGTGTGTGTGTGTTTTCAGCTGATGCTGCATTCTTGATGCTTCTTCACCGCAGTTGGGCTAAACCAATTTACACTTAAACTAGGTCTTTTTAAGCTGGATACATTTCATTCCACTTTATTTGGTTTGTTTTGCCTACCTGAATAATCTTCTATTAGCTGGCCACGTTGCTTACGCTAATTGCGCTTATCTTTGGCAAGTGTGTTGCGTTTGTAGCATTTTTAAGTAACTTGTGGACATTTCTTACTTATCACGGATTTGTTGCTAACCAAATTACTTCATATGGTAATTTAGCGGGGAGTTATGCCACCATATCTGTATGCATTATTGGATTTATTTTATTTCAGCTTGTCATTTAAAGCGAATGGCTGTTGCTTGGTATCCCCGGTGTGGCTGCGCTTGATGTGCATGTTGACAAGGTGTCTACCTGTCTATTACCCACTACCTCGTTCATACTGGCTCCAGGAGACAGTTGGTCGTTGCTGGAGGGGACGGGATGCACTGTCCTTGTGGCCGTGCTAGGCTCAAAGAGTGGTTCCATGCACTCAGTGTGGAGCGGACTACGGTCCAGTCGCCGCCTTGTGTGCGGTTGATTCCCCAAATACAGCGTGCTTGTGTTTGCCTGTGAAGGAGTGTGGGCCGGCTCCGTTGATGAAACGTGGCTCCCATCCACATGCCTCGTTGTCTTATTCCTTCGGGTTTACAGTGGATATGGGGTGTGTGGTTGGAGCTGTGAGTGGTGCAGTGCAAGCCACCCCTGGTCCCTCTGTAGGTGCAGGCGTCCTGTGGCTGGCCACAGTGACAGACAAATCCAAAGCGGGATGCCGCCAACCATATGTGTTCAGCAACCCACCATCAATACGGTGCTCCACACGAACATCGTAAGCGCAAGACATCATTGCATGAAAACAAATATTAAACAGGGCAGGGGCTATGACACAACCTTGCTTCACACCATTGGCAGTTGCAAAGTCATCCGAAGTCTCTCCACTCAGCTGCACCCTCGCCCGCATACCACTGTGCAGACATACCATTAAATTTACAAATGTTTAATCGGGCAACCAAACTTGCCCAACACCAACCATAATGCCTCGTGGTTCACCGTATCAAATGGCTTGGTGAAATCAACATAATGCGTGTACAACGGCTAGTGTCGTTCTCTGCACTTCTCCTGCAACTGAAGAGCCGCAAACACCATATCTATGGTGCTGCGACCCGAACGGAATCCACATTGCTCTTCCGCCACATTAGGTTCCACAACCTGACTGACGAGGCGGTTGAGCTGGATTCGGGCAATCACCATGCCCACACAACTCAGCAAGTTGATACCACAATACTTCGTGGCACATTGCTTACTCCTTTTACCCTGGTACAGTGGTAGCATAAGGGCATCCTTCGACACTGGAGGCACCTATTCTTCAACCCACACACGTTGCACCAAGTGGTGCAGTGCAGTCACTAACGCGGGTCCTCCGTGTTTCAATACTTCAGACGGGATCCCGACTGCACCGGTACATTTGCCGTTTCGCAGCTGAGTAAGTGCTCTCTGCCTCTCATCCTCTGTCGGCGCGTCTGCCAAACTCGCCATTACATCGCGCTGTTTCACGCCATCCAAAATAGGCTAGTTGATCTCTGAACGGTTGTTCAAGGGACAGTCGAAGTGTTTCCGCCAGATCTGCATTATATCTGCAGTCTGTGTGCAAGTAGCGCCTGGACTACCATTGATCAGTGTCCTCAGCGGCCCCAACCTTGGTCCATACAAGGCCTTCAAGGAGTCAAAGGAAACCTTATGTTGTCGGTGTTCGGCGTAGCATTCCATCTGCTTCGCCTTCTCCGTCCACCATACGTTTTTAATGCGACGGAGCTCTCGGGTCAGTCGCCGTCAAACTTTGTGAGACTCACTCTTCCCCAATTCACTGAGGTCTGTCACATGTGCACCAAATGCTGCCTTCTTCTCCGACACCAATGCGCCAATCGTCACATTGTTGTCATCAAACCAATCAGGCCGCTTACAGTTTGCACGCTCGATGGTCTCTTCGGCAGCAGCTGTCACCTGGTCGCGAATGTGGTGCCACAGGTAATATACGGTACTACTGCACGCACTGCCACGTAACGCCACACTGTTCGGCATTTGTTTTGCATCTTCGGAGTGCAATGTATTGTTGCTGGACGGGACCGGTTTGCTGTCGGCTTTAGCTGCTAGTGTATGGCCTCTACAAGTAGTGGATCGATTCACTTACCGCCTTAGCTCTGTCACGTCTGACGGTCACATCACTGAGGAAGTTACTTCGCGTATTAGCGTGACCCGTGTGACTTTCCAGAGGAGCAACCATCTATTGAGGCTGCGGGATATCAGTCTGTCAGTGAAAGGTAGGATTTATAGCGCTGTGGTAAGTCCGGAGTTACTCTATAGATCAGAGACCCGGCAAGTTCGCAACCAAGGCATTAAAAGCTTGCCTGTGTTTCATCACCTTTGCTTTCGAAGTATTGCTCACATTTGATGGGAACACCAGGTCAGCAATACTGAGATCCACCAGTTTATATTTGGCAAAAACTCTTCGGTGCCTCATTCGAGTGTTTGTTCAAATTCACCCGGTTGCGTTGGCCAGGTTTTGTCCTACGCGTGCCCGTCGGTTGACTTCCTCAGCGTACGCCGTAGCTGCACCAAGTTGGGCGAAACCGCGAGGTGGCCAGTTCATGAAGTGGCATAGAGTCATGAAGCAATTAACTGAGAGATTTAGGCTGGTGAATGCCGTCTTGGTGGATGGGGACCTATGAATGGACCACAGAAATGGTTGGAGGCCGTTTCAGACATGGGGCAGTTAGCAGCATTCCTGTACTCGGTTTTTTACTTCTGGTTGTTAAGTTTCTTTTCACCCCGATTAATTTAACACTCTTTTGATCCCGTTTTCTTTGTATTCTCTCCGCATTCAGCCTCGTTTTCTTTTCGTGGTTTTTCTTGTTATTCTATCGACGCGAGCTGTGTCAACCCCATTTACCGCACTTCGCTGCCCTGATCATAGTCGTTCAACTAACTGGACTAATCTAATGTTGCACCCTTCTCAAATAATAATTTCTTTCGTTTCGCACGTCAAGTGCGTTTGAACAGCAGACTGTCATTCGGTTGAGATGTGTTTTTATCAGTATAAAATGTACAAGTGTTAGTTGATGGATGTTGTTAGGGCCCTTGTTGCTTTATTTGGAACGCTTATATTGTACCCCTTACAAGAAAACCACTTTTCCCGGTGGGCTACTTTTCCCTCTCGATTTCAGTTTTGAGTCTCGATGAGCAACTGGAAGCCGAATTGGCCCGCGAGGTGGATTCGATGGTTCTCATCACCTCCGCGAACGACCCACAGGTTGATGAACTTGACCGCGAACTCGAATTGGAGCTGCTCTCTGAACTGAATCAAATGCAGAAGACGTAGTATGCCCGGGTTTCACCTCCCCACCTCCCATGTCTGTCCTCTCCTCGCTCACAAAAGCACTAATATCTTCGTTTCTGACTTATAATTTCCAACCGGTTTTTTCCTAATGCTTATTCCGTTCCTCTCTCTATATGTATATCATTACAAATTCGCTCGACGTTTGTTTCTTCCTTTGCCGCCGGCCAACCGTACAGTAACATCACAATGCCCACCAACTCTCCGCAAATAGTAGCATATGTTTCCCAGTCAAACTGACACACATCGTTTTGCCACTGATGATCAAATGCCAGTATCTTGAGGTCTTAAGGTACACAGTGTCTATCTTTCTGATCTGTACGGCAATTAGTCGTGCCGTTTCGCTGTTTGCTCCTCCTCCTTCAATCAGCAGACGTGTTGTTCCTTAATTTCTCTACGGTTTTTGTAAAATCTTCGTGACCTTACTAATTTAGCATGTGCTGACCTCTTCCCTCATACGGCCGTCAAGGGGATACACTTGCCCAGACAAATAAACGGATCGATTAATTTGAATGTATTTCTAATTCATTGTGAGAACTAGTTTGTCAGCCAAATTTCATATCTTTTTTTTCTCCCGCATTCCACTTCCGCCAAACTTTTGGAGCTATCGGATAGCACTTTGTCAAGGGCTTGCTATGGGCATTCCTTGATTTGCCTGTAACATGATCACACTTACGTGATTTGTACTTTTACATCGAAACACTTAGAACGACCACTTTGCTTCATCTCCATGTGTGTTCTTTTTAAGCGCGATAGTCGTGCTCAGTTTAGCTTTTTCCAGGACTTATGCCGACTAGCATCAGCAGTATTTGGACTCGTGGAGCAGTTCACTTCTGACCCACCTTCCTCTTCTCCACTGCTATTTGGAAATTTGTTGTTTACAACCTTTCTCGCTGAGTTCCACCTTTCCTTTATATCGATGTCGCTTTTCCAGCGCTGGTGGTCAACATAAAAGGCTTATGAATGTCTCTACCCTGTAGTAGTATTGTGGAGACGCCGGGGCGGAGCGAACGAGTTGTGCATTGGAGGATGAACGTCTACGTGGTATAACATTTCGAACATAGAACATCAGGGCTCATTTGCGCACTTCACTCGTGGTGCCTTTTGGCTCTACACTCCGCTATGCGCTATCGACCCAGCTTGCCCTGACGGTGTGGTTTTAGACCCGAAACTCCAGCGTCATCCGTTTCCATCGCTGATTGAATTGCGCACTACGCGCTCGTCGTCCGCGATGAGCTATTATTCTCGGAGTTCATCACGCTTGCTCGTTTCGCCATACTACTCATTATTAGTGCACCACAGCATTAATCAGAGAAGCAATCATTATACCATTTTCACTTTAACTTGGACGTTTTGCAATCCAAAATGGGTTTTTTGAAATCCACTTTGGACATATTGGATTTTAAGCAACAAATGAGTAATCCGCTTACAAAAAATTAGGAGAAAGGCGACTGGACAATGTTCGGACTACATTGTAGTCATGTTAATGCAACCGAATTGTGTCACCAGCGAGTGCCACTGCAAACTCTTCTCTTGATCGGGAAACTCGATCAAAGGCGGTGACTGAGTGTCCCCCAATCTACCCATTAGTCTTCGCATAGTTATGTGCTTCTGACCTTACACATGGATCTGTGTAGCTATGTGACTTGGAAAGTCAAACTTCCCATCGCGTAGTCTACCATGACTTAAACAAATGTTATCTAGCATAGTGGCATAGTGTTTATGGCGTCAGCCGTGAACCACTAGGCTCTGATTTCCACCCCAGCTCAGACTGTCTTCACATGGTGAGCCCAAACCAGGACGAAACCGCGGTCGTGGTGTGCCAGTGTTGGGATGAGCAACACCAAAATATTTCCATTCCGGATACGTTCCTCGCGATCGGAACGACCGAAGTTTGCCTCATAGTGAACCGAGGTCTCAATAGAGGTTGCGAGTCGCAACCCAATCACAACACAGCGTGTTCGTTAAATTCAACTTTGAATTACTTTCCTCTGTGCCACGCGTTGCTCGCGGATCTCAGTAACATAATATTCAGGGCGTCATCCGTGAGCCACTAGGCTCTGATCTCCACTCCAGCTCAGGCTATCTTCACCTGATGAGTCCAAAGCAGGACGAAACCGCGGTCCTGCGGTGCCAGTGTTGGGATGAGCAACACCAAAATACTTCCAAGCGCTCGAATGTTTTATGCACCATTTAACACGTTTGCGGGCATTTGCTTGTCGTTTTCTACAGCGCAACTCGACTCACGGTAATACCTCGTGAAGCATACTTCGAGCACGGACTTATGATCAGCAATTTAAGCTCTTTGGGATAAACTGGCTACATCAACGGTGTTGTTATTTCGAATTCTCTGCTTACTTGCTTTCAAAATGGCGCAAAGGAATAAAATTTTCATTGCACAATCTGAATTCAGCTATTTCGCATATTCTCGTCAGTCGTTTATACTCAATTAGGTAAATGGGTAGGTTGCATACAGAGACAAGATGAATCAAAGTTCACTGTCCAAATTCATCTGAAACTGACCAGCATTTTGCCTAGAGAAATCTGGCCACCAATGCAATGCTTGACTGACGATGGATTCGTCTTGTTTACACAGGCTGGGTTTTAGCCACCTGATTGCCGAAGTCTCAGCAGGCTAGCGGCGCTCTGTTAGTTGACTATCCTGAATGGTTCACAAAGGTTATCACATGCGGTAGTCAAATATACCTCTGGTGATCGAACTGGCGGGTAGCTTCGGACCATTCGCGATCTGTCTGGTGGAATCTGCCATAAAATCCTTGTGCTCAGTCTCCTCATAGTTCGGCCGACGTTCTTACCACCTTTGAAATTGGGCTTAACGCTAGCTTTATTTCTAATAGAAGTGTAAGGGACTATCTGCTTAGGAAGCTGTGTATTCACTAGTATTGATTTGCTGTGCTTCCTCTCCTAAAGTATTTGGTTTTCTTACTGCTGTGCGTACTCTAACTTATTGGCGGAGGTTTCCGAAAGCAAGCTAGTATCAAACTTGATACTTTGTATTCCATTCCGGTAAATTGTAACGTAACAACAAAACTAGCTTTTTCGAACACAACTGACCCTTGGATACAAAATCAGAATACGTTATTATTGTACCATGAAATTTTTATTTTAAATGTTGTGTTTTAATGTATTCTCCGAGTGATCACGTTACGCTAGCCCAGCATGCTAAGATACACGGCCGGTACTGTTCATGCATGATCTCGGGAACAAAGGGGTATTCTCTCAGATGTAAGTTGACGCATCTTTGCTTGCACCTCGCTTGTGCATTCATGTGGGCGGAAAGTACCATTGTGAGGCATGAAGCAATGATCTGATATAAACAGAAAGAACACATAGATGTATAATGTGAATGGTTTCTAAAATTGAAGTTATCAAATAGGTCATGAAAAAAGAATGTTACACGTTTGCTCTGCGTTGACTGACGCATGTTACTTGGCACTTACAGTGATTCTCAGAAAATTCATCTCCGTGTGTAACATTTCATGTTTGATTAAGGTATGGTCATATTAATAGGCTTGTTTACATTTTGTGCACGAGCAGGCATTGGTGTGATTGTGCTCACGAGTTCCACATAGCTTTGGTACGCGCTATCGCTGAAAATTCTCAGACCGTCTCACGTGGTGTCGAAGGGGGAGGTTACTTACTTATCCGTTCGAAAGATGCATGCTAATGAATAGCATAGTATTTACGCTTAGTGACTTGAAATCTACAACGTGCGTACTTTTGGTCTTGGGTACTCGGAACAAGACGCGCTGTGGGGAGGTCCGACTTGCATAAGTGAATAATTCGGATGGAAGACATAAAACTAATTGATGTGATCGGATAGAATGATGTGACCAAAATTCGATTTTGTGATGTCGTTACCTACGGATAGATCTTTTAATGAATTGTGACTTATTGTGGAATACTAATTAAAATGATTGGTAAAGATCATAGACAAAGTCTAGGGACTATGGGGTGACTGCATGCAGTGTGAAATCTCAGAACTAATCAGTCGGGTGCAGATGAAATGAAATGCTATCTTCCGGCGTTTTGTGCACGTTTCATTCAGGTGGTGCGTCCACGCAGGATCAGGTGAAATCCTACGGCGGTGCTTTAACAAGAGAGATTTCCTATCTTGGTACTCCAGAGCGCTTTACCAACCTCATTATTGGTAACACGGAATATTCAATCGGGGTACAGAGCGCTGGCAAGTCGCTAAAAGCATCAGACAGCGTTGTTTCAACCTTCTGGATCTCGTCATTGGTGCGCCTTCCCTTGCACCCCTGCCGGTTTCCGACCCCATGACTGCCGGAAGCCAGCAACTTGTGCAACTAAGCCATGCTTAACAGCCGCGGACCTACATGAATGACAGTTCACTATGATATAGCCCGGCTCATGTTCCATTACCATGGCAGTTACGAACGGCGCAGAGGACAGCAGTTAGCCCCACGAGCTAGGACTTTCCGCGTAGCTGCTGTGTGCGACAGGGGAAAAAAGCAATACGGACGGCTTTTATAGTATTAACGAGTAGCGGTGATTTTTGTATAGTTCAAAGCTAATTCAACACGGTCCACTCTCAGTCAGCAGGCTTTTGCAAGTCTAGCAAAGTACCAGACAGCGCTGTTTCGATCTTCTAAGTCTCGTCACTGGTGCGCCTTCCATCGCACCCCTGCCGGTTTCTTACCCCATGACTTCCGGCTGTCAGCAGCTTGTTCCAATAACCTATGGGTGACAGCCACGGACCTGCATGATTGACAGCTGACTATGATATAACCCGGCTCATCTTCCAATGTCATGCCAGTAACGAAGAGTGCGGAGAACACCAGTTAACCCCATGAGCTAGGAATTTCCGCATAGTGTCTGTGTACGACACATGACTTAGAAGCTATACGAACAGTTTTTGCAGTGCTGCTGCGTAGGGAGGATCTCGGTATACTTCAGAGCTAATTCAGCACGGTCACTCTCAGTTAGCAGCCTTTTGCAACTCTGGAAAGTACCAGACAGCGCTGTTTTGACCTTTGTCTCGTCAGTGGTGGTCATTTTTCGGAATCCGCCAGTGGACGATGGAAATCGCACCATTGATGAGACCCATATGGTTGAAAAAACGCTGTCTGGTGATTTTCTAGATTTGCCAATGCTTGCTGATTGAGAGCGGGCCATTATAAATAATCTCTGGATTAGGTCAAATCCCCACTGCTCATTATCTGTTTATAATTTGTCCATATAGATTCTAATTCCTTTGTCGTAAACCGGCGCTATGCGCAAAATTCCAGCTTCTGGGAATAACTGCTGCCCTCTGCACTCATCGTAACTGACATGGTAGTTAAAGCTGATCCGGGATAGGTCATAGTCAACTGTCAATCATGCAGGTCCGTGGCTGTCACCCATGGCTTAGTGGCATAAGCTGCTGGCATCCGGAAGTCAAGGGTCGGCAACCGACAGGGGTGCGATGGAAGGCGCACCAGTGAGGAGACCGAGAAGGTCGAAACCGCGCTGTCTGGTGCTTTTCCAGAGTTGCCGGAGCCTGCTGAATGAGAGTGGACCGCACTAAGTTGTCTGCGTATGTTAAGGTCCTTATTTTAGGTTGCCATGGGAAATGGAAAGTTTCTTTGACGTACTTGGTTTTTCTTCCTTTTGCAGTCTAAAGGTACACGAGATATCGCTATTGCCAGGCTGCCAACGCGGGATAGCTTAGTCCGCGTTTGGTGACAGCTCGATTTGAAGCAGTCGCTGACAGATGAAGTAAGCAGACCGCCCCAATGCTCTTCGCAAAATACTGAACTTTTACTTATCGCACTTGGCCCATTACCTGTTTGCATTGAGTAACCCAGACAGTTTCAAATTAGTAACCAGGATCTCGCTCCTGGGAGCTGGCATGCATGACGTGGTCTCCAGTTTTTTAATGCACACGTTCGATCTGTGTCCAGCAAACCAACATAAACGGAACAATACTTGAATTTTAACAGCTTCTGCCCAATGAGCTATAAGCGAGCTTTAGTCAGTACGGCTTTTGGTAGAGCTCGTCAAATTTACTCTCCGGAGACTATCGAATGTGAACTAGGACGCGTTACGTAGACACTATCAAAGAATGGATATCCCGAACAATTTATAGCACGGTACACGAACTCAGAGCCGAAAGATAAACCATCAAGCAATGTTCACATAGAAAGCTATTTATTGCGCTGCCATTTAAATGGGACCAAATTGACAGAAAATGTCTGCACCCTTTTCCTCATTCTATCAAGTTGTGATATCACACCAAATCAGGAGGCTGCTATACAAATCCAATCTGGACACACCGTACTCTGTGGTTATCGCTTCGGGCATCTGCCTCTTTAACTGTACTTGTAGTAGCAAACACATTGGCCGAACTGAGAGAAAGCTGTCACCAAAGATTGTAGAGCACGTCCTACGAAATATGGTCGAAAATGACCCCAAGCAACCCGCTAACTCTATTGCACGCCACATACTTGATTGTCCTGTATACCACTACCCACTTGGTTGGTTTAAGGTAATCAACAGACAAAGTAATTCCCGCCTACTTCAATTCCCTGAGACATCGGCGGTTGAAGGTAAGTTGGTGCAAACAAACGGATTGGGTGACCAGCCTCGCCCCACTCTGGTGAGTCGAGTGACTATCTTTCGTCTGAATGGGTCACGTGAACTCACCGGTTTTCGACCGATTTAACTTTCGCCGATAATATTGAACTTTAATTGCCTTTTATCTGCAACCTGTTTCGTTTCACAATTTGTATGTAACCAGCTGAGGAGGATACGCGAAATTACTGAGTTCAGTATATGCTGTTAAAATCTAGTTTCTTCTTGCTGTTAGCCTCGTGTTGAATGAAACGATCAAAATGGGCTACGAACGAAAGTCGCTCAGTCGGTATCGCACTCCACGTTGTGACTTCGCATCGCAATCCATTCACAAAACGAGTACTTCACAATAACCCTGCAAAGCCACGTGACATTTGTTTAAGTTGTGATAGACTATGTGATTCGTGAGTCTGAGTTTTCACTACTTACTCAGCTACACAGGTTCGTGTTTACAGGCACATAAGCTACACGAATGCCAATGTGGGGAGAGGGAGAAACTTAGTCACCGCCTTGGATCGAGGTGATATAGATCAACAGAAGGGTATGCAGTTGCACCCACTGCTTACACAATTCTGTTACATTAGCAAGACTACCATGTAGTCTGAACACCGGCCAATCACCTTACTTCTCATTTCTTGCTGCTGATTTTCCGCTAAGAATACGATGTGTACAATGTGATTTGCAAAACGTCCAGTATGCTTTACAAAACCTCCATATTATTATGAAAATGGTGCACACCTGTCAAGCCATGACTTGGTCGAGAGGAATGAGGGCCCTCACTTCGAAGCTGGCCTCAGTTTGAGCGTCCCGGCTCCCTGGTTGAGGTCCGAAAGACGATAAACACGTTTGGCTGGATACACTTGTTGATATGGCTAAAAGCCGACCTCATTGGCGTTCATGCTGTGAGTTTCTTTGTCCCACCCCATCCCTTTTAGCCTCCCCCTCCAACCACCATCTCATTATTTAGCACTTTATAATTTTGCATAGGAAATTATTTTTTTCTGCTGCATAGTAACCTGCAGATAGCTTACCGGAACGATGCCCATCCGTTACCGGTAGCTCAGCTGGCTTACACCTGTTGCATTTTATTCCCTTTTTTCTTTTAGGTATTGCGGCGCAGTAGCTGCGGTGTTTCCCACCTCTAGCTTACGTGTATATTGTGTGTGTGTGTGGTGCACACATGTTAAGGCTTCTTGTTGAGTTTGAATTGGTTATTCCGTTTGTTCCGTTTCGACTGTCCTAATCGGAACGGACGAACTCCTTCAATCGTTGGTTCCCACGCACAGAGTAGCTTAAACGATTCGAATTAGAACGGCTAGTGCACTTAGTCGGCGGACGAGAACTCGCAATTGATAAGGCAGACGGAACGCGTAAACGCCGCACAACTATACCGAGACTTGCAGAAAGAAAACTTTCCAATAGTAAGAGTGCGTTTACTGACTCAACCAAGGCAACCGTGCTTTCTACACCTTCATATTTGTATAGGTAGAAATTCGTCACATCTACCTATACAATTCAACTCCCCCTACTACTCTTCTGTAACCTTCATATTTATTGTTTACTAAAACTGTTTATACCGACACCTCACTACTCATTAGTAACACAGCAGTAATTATATAAACTATAAGGGAAGGCGTATGTTTTTTGGTTTATGAGTTGACATGTAATGGTCCTATCTCCGGGAAGAGACAAGGCGGGTTCGACGCTGTTGAAATCTTTGGCACCTCATAGTTACTGAGTGTGCTCGGTGGCTAAGACATTCGCATGAACACTGCTCAAGAGGCGGACGTTTGACTTGAGGAGCTTCCGGGAGATAAGATAGGGAGACCGGGGAAAGTTAATTAAATCCTATGCAGGATACGTTGAACGTGTTCTCACGGAGACCAACTCCGTTGTGACCTGTGCAGATGAGTGGACCCTTCGCGGCACTTTCCATAGGAAGAGCTTCGCTCTGAACTGAGTAGCTTGGGTCTCTGCATAGCGACCGTGTTGTTCGGGTCCGACAGTGCACTGGCGCCGGTGAACTCTGTTGAGTTTAGCAGGACTGTGCCAGCCCTGTAGCAGAATACTGCAGCTTACGCTTTCTCGCCTTAGTCTACAGTAAACTGTTTTTCTCTGTATCCTCGTTTTCCACACTACTTTCTAAGCGCTTTCGCTTCACGGAGTTTGTTTGCAATAATGGTTATAATTTCGCTTTTGCCGTGCTTTTTTATTGTGGCTCTCCGAAATTCGGTTTCATCCACTGGCGTAAACTCGGGACCCAACTAGCGCCTTTGAAGGAAAGCAACGCGATTCGATGCTGTTGGTATTAGACTAGGCTCAAATCTCCGCAATCTAATCTAAAACTTCTGCTTGTACGCCATTCACTGAACTTCATCTGCCTCTCCTTGCGGCCGTTGGTCTCCCAACGGAATAGCACTATAGGCTCCATTCTGAGTCGCCTCTATTTACCCGGTTGTAGAAAAAGAAGGCGGGGCGCGAGGGTGGTCGGTATAGTCAGAAAACTCGTGACAAACGGTTTATTTTAGAAGAGCTAAGCGGCAGAAAGATGCAGTGTAGTTCTTTCGCATGGCGCTTTCGTGTAGATTGTCAAATCAGTACAATTATTTACGACGCGATTCCACTAGTTGTGTTCCTCCTATACTCCAGTTAAACGGCAGTCGGAAATCGTCATCCAATCAGCACGACTTGGTGTAGCCAATAGCCGAAGTCGTTCACTTCGCATCTAATCTTCTGCCTCGTAGATCTCGCTAATCTGTCTGCTCTACTCGAAACGCTACTTCTATCACAGGTGTCCATACTGTTGACAACGGTGTGTACCGATTTGGCCGCTTGCCGTTCTGAGTCTCACACAGTTACGTCTTTTCTGCATAACATTAAATTTGATTACTAAACACTCACCAAGATATCCCAACCTAATCGAGACAAGCTGTCACAGATGTCGGACCCGAGGATGAGAAGTTTATGTAAAACAAACTGAGGAGGCTGACAAAAACAATAAATAAAGCCGTTCGAATGCTGCGATGTTCACCCAAGGCAATAGAACGTTATAATTTACAAACATGATTTCATCCGGCGCATTCGCTCTCCATGGTCTATGTCACAGCCCACTAACTGCACACACACTCACGTGACTGTGTCACCTCTTAGACTGCATCGATCATTTGCTAGATACTGGCTTTGTTTTCTGATTGGTTCGTTTGTCTCATTTGTTTCTAACTTGGTTCGATGTGACAGTCGGAATACAGACTCGCGTGCCATCCGTGTCTGTGCTTTTATTACCTTTAAACGGGCTACGCGTTCATAGATGGAATAAAAATACACCATCGGTAGGTAACAGCTACATGGTCTCATGTTTCTCCATGTCGAGAATTTGGCGATATTAGCGAACGGCGAGAAGTCGCCGATCTTTTTGCTTTGATGCTCTTACAGTGGACGAGTTGCAGGCTGTACCGTAACCCTAACGATATTCGCGATATTCTTCGACCACGTTTGGCCGTCGGGCAGAATCCCGCTCACTGCTTTTCCGATACAGCCCAGCAAGTTGACACCACGTTGACTCAGGGAAGTGCTGACACATGGGTATCCTTCAGTTCGGAAGGAACTTTCCCTTTAGTCGGCGCACCCAGGTTCACAAGCTTCGTAGTCGCTGTTCGTTTTACCCACGATTCTGCCGTGTCAGCAAGTGAACTTTTCACATTCTGTTGTTGCAGACTGCTCAAAGTATTCTTGAGCTCTTCCTGGTGGAGCTAGAGGATGCGCTCCACCTGCGAGTTCCAGTGGGACGAATCGGGCCTCTGGTGCGTTCCAGAATGCTTAGCTAATCATCTGACTTGGAAGCTGAATTGATCTAAAATCTTCCCAATGGTTGTTCGGAAGACCCTCGGAGCGCATACCCTACACAGACATTGGATCCTCGTCCTATGTACTCAGTGCCTGATGCGCTACTCAGGGTAACTTTTCCTTGGCTGGATCTGGCCCACCGACTGTACCCGAATTAGCTTAATAAATCTAGGGGAAACCAAATGCTGTGATACGATTTACATCTGACACTGTTTGGACACCAGCGTGGAGCATCCCAGGATTGTTTCATGCGATACCGTATTGCCGTTCTAGTAGGGACCAGACGTCACTAGAATAATGATGTGAGTGGTCACGCATGAAGCCCATTCATTCGTGCACCCTACCATGTTTCTGTTTACTTCACACCCTTGTGCCACAATACTGGAATTGGTCCACACACTTGAAACCTACGTCATATAAACTACCACTAACTTATGTATGTCGTTTTGGAGCCATAATTGGAACGAATTGCAAATTGCTAGTACAAAATTACACTGGAAACGCAACTTGTTGAGGTTCATACAATTTAGAATTACTAGATGTAAGTTCACCCAATGTCCCATGCTCCTCCGTTTTTCTTGTTTCAATTGCTTTTTTATTAGGTCTGTAATCCTATATATTTTTCTTGTTTATTGCAGACTACCAAAGCTACTTAGCGAAGAAAAGCGGACACCGATTGTCATGTTTTAGTTGTTTGTCTCAGAGTTTCCGTTCTAGCTCGCAAGTATTTTTCATTTTCATTGTGCGGCCCATGCTCAACATTTTTTTCTTAACTGACCCACACTAGTCATTATTCCAGTAATGTGGCCCATCGTGAAGGTAGTTTGATGACCCCTGCTCTAAATGAATGAATGATGTTCGACAATTGAAGCAGCCCCCACAGAGATTTTCTGTTTGTTACTACATTGTAGTTCCCAGTAGTAGCAACTAAATATTTCAAAGTCCAGAGAATTTCGGCGTCGTAGGTCCCAGCAACCTACCGCACCACTGATATCGACTTTATTTTGATTACGCTCGCTAAGTTGACCGGAGGTCGGACTATAGGACGGACCCAAAACTTGCTGGCAGATGCTTCCAATAGCAATCCATCGCGTTGCACAATGTTTCTCTCACATAGATCATGAATTCATTGCTTGGCTTAAGATCGCACCCTGCATGCTTAACTTTTGATTAACACCAACGTTTGTCTCCCCTGCGGAAGTGGTTCCGATCTTGGAAGCGGTAAACGTTTGTTTTCGATTGGATTGTAACAGTAACTGAGACTTCTTGTCACAATTCAAATGCATGATAGGCTTACCAAAATAAGCACTTGACCGCTATTTCTGTGTACGAGTTCTATGCACTAACTCACTCAATGATTCTTCCTTAATAGCTCGCCAGAATTAGAACCGAACCCAGCAAATAGATCTTTGACGGTCGCCTTTGTTGCTAAACCCTCCGGTCACTATAACGCTTCTCGCTAGACACTATGAGAACGTTTGAAACACCCATTGCATGCATAGATTGCGACACGCAATCTCAATGCCAACCGCAGATAAGGTTACAATGAACTTCCATCGGATCGCGGTTTAACATTGAGACTAAAAACAACACTTCCTGTGTTGTTGACTTCTGTGAGTTGGCGTCGCTGTTGAACCTAAGTCGGTGTACCTGTCGCATGATGTGTTCTGCTAAGTCACACAATATAGAACTACCGGTATGGTACCGTTTGTCGGTACTTGGTACTCTCGTAAAACGAGGAAGGCCAGTCATTCTCTTTTGTGTGCCTCTTATTCTTGTGAGACATACATTTACACCCGGCAAATGCGTGCTTACCATCCTTATCCGCCGTCGTAACTGCGGGTTACATTTTTCTGATTAAACTAATCATGGGTAACGCTAGTTAATGGACTGTTGTGAGTGGAGAGTCATCAGATCTAGGCTCAGTCAGACAATCAGCTTGCACCTGATAACGCACTGTACGGCCGTTTCATCCTTTCGGGAGTCATCGGCGAGGCAGCTACCCCGTCTTCTGCACGGCAGTAACTTGCAAGTTACTGGATATCGAACGACGCCGTTTCACACCTAGTCGCTGTATCTCGATAGACTTATTCAGAGACTGGTAACAGTCGAGTTGTGGGTTCATGCCCCGCAAAGGTATGACTGCATACGCACTTCTGACGATTCCCGAAAGAATGAAATGGCCATACAGTGCTTTTCTGGGCGTGTGTTGGGTGTTTCACTGCGTCGAAATATGAGAAGTCTCCACTTTCAAATCCTCCTAAGACTTCTTTGATGAGATGTTGTTCAATTCCGAAACAATTGATGCCATTATCAACAGGGTTATCTATCGCATTCCTTTTGATTCTCCTGGGGCATCCTATGTGTGTGCATGCGTTTGGACAAGCGTAAGACACCCGTGCTTCCTCCCTAGACACTGGATGACTTTGGTTAACATTGCGCAAAGCACCTTACCTGCATCCGTTCAGTTTAATGAATCATCACCAGCAGCCATCTCCTAATGTGGATTACGTATAACTTGTAGGCTGATTGATGAAGGCGCTATGTCGTAGTCAACTGTCAGTCATGTAGGTCCACCGCCGTCATCCACAGTTTCATGGCACAAGTTGCTTGCGTCCTGACCTTGAACGAACTTGTGTGCTACTTGCGCAGTTATGCACTGTTTCCCAGCCGCATTTTGTCACACAAACGTGTGTTTTCACTCGTTCCATCCAGCCTAATCAGCGCTATCTAGTACATTCCATCTTTCGGAGCTAGCTTGTGTGGATCACCTTATCTCATCACATCGCGGTTTACGCACCGTTTCCGCAGTAAAAGAATCGAGGAATTTTCCGAATCACGAATTGCACAATGATAGTTGTGGTCTCAAACGAAAACCAACCCCGCGTTTTATCCATCGAGTAATCAACCACAGCTGTCGACAGTTAATCAACGTAGCTATTATGCACTTTATGTCCGTATCGTTCCGTCACTTTGTGTACCGAGTGAACTATCTAGCCGCTTAAACCTGCTCCACCAGAGCTGGACGCACCGGACATGACGATCTTGAACATGGAGCTAATTCAGCAAACACGCGATTTTCCAGGAACCATTAGCGATTGGGCATTGCTCAGAATGGCGTCCATCGACGCAGGGGTGTCTAACAACCAAGCAAAGCTCATGTTACCGTATCCCGATCGACAGTAGTATCTGGCTATCTTTCATGCCATGAAAATGCACGAACTGGAATCCAGTGTTTCAATTACTTTGACTAGTTTCATTTTAAGAATTCCCGGATCACACTAAAACATTTCACCATACACAATAATCAACCAGATTCACTGTGGTTCTGTGAAGTACGTGTGGTCATCCCACTGGTAGAGATTGTGCACGAACTATCGCAGAACCACGAAAAACTAGTAGTAATGATGGAAGGATTGGAGAACACCAACATTGATTCATTTGAAGAAACCGCGACAGAAAGCAAACCCCGGTCATTCCTATTAGGCTCCGCATCTACTCTGAAGAAGTAGGCTAGGCTGTGCGTTACACTATCATCATCTGTCGCTTTAAACTTCAATACCACCAGTTTCCCAAATACGCTTGAAACCACCACCGCCAGTCTGCCTGCAATAAGTACGGTCAGGGCATCTTCCACACTCCAAATGGTTCCGGCATTTCAGAAGTATGTAGACACCAGTGGTAGTTAGAACTTATTTGATGCCAAAGGCAACCGAAAACTTAGACCTTCGGCCACTCCCACTGGGCCCAAAGTAAATGAAGGAGACGAAGGTGTACTTTCCCTGCCTCCACTGGTTGTATGCAAAACAGCTGCGCGGTTGACCTCAACCCGAGTTGCACACGATATTCCAGCGGCAATTTGCATTAGTGTTCCAGCATCAATGACAAATTCCTTAAAAGTAAAACAACACGATTATGTGAAGCAGTGGAACCCCATATGTGACACCATAGTTGTTGTAGCTAAGTCGGTCAAATTGACGCGCGTTACATGTCACACTAACTCACAGCACTACGGCGAACCGACACTACTCCGAGTTGTTATGGCATCTGCCGATGAAGCAGTAGCTGTCCTGTTATAGACAGCTAGCCTCCGGAATGGGTCATGTTCCATCTACACCTTCCCGGATGTTCCGTGGAGCGAACGCAAACAAGCAAATTGCGACTTAAGAGAATAACGGAAGGAATCCATAGCCAGGATCATCCTTATTCACGGTGTTTCCAAGGCTGACGGTCATGATGAGCGCAAAGCGGCTCCTCATGACCACGAACAATGGCGATACCTTCGCGAGATCCTCTCTCTGGAAAATGTCAAAGCAATTGATCTCGTGGCTTTGCAGTTCACCAAAGTACAAAGGATATGGCCCGCGGATTGTGAAAGTAGTCATTCAATGTAGACAAATGTAACAAGGGTGCTGGTGTATTGGTAGTCGGGACGCAATAGCCTTCGCTATACATGACATGTCCCTTCTCTGAAACGGTCGCCCTAACAGGGCGGGAGTGTAGCGTTATACTACCTTGGCAACCTACAGTGCGAACCGGTGAGCGTTCCGGGAACGGTACTCAGAGACTCACTGTGGTGCAGTCTGCGACTACATCAACGACACTTGCCTTGTGGCAGTTGTTTGTCGTCCCCCAATGTCCACCACAGAGCTGGACTCCCGCCTGACATTAGTCTTTGGAGGGCTCTTACGACGGCGATGAAACCACGTTCTCATCTCAGGCGAATTCAATGTTCACCATCTGGAAAGTTCGGCATCCTCGAGCGAACATTTCAAGGGGGACCTGCAAGAGCTTCTCTCAAGCATTCCACTCTTCAGCCATGTCAGTTCCCCCACCCTTTTCAGAGCATAGATAAACCAACTGTGTTTGGTTTATTGCTCAAGAACGAAGTGCTCATGATTGAGTAACTGAAGGTAGAGAGCACTCTGGGGAAGAGTGACCACATAACAATGCTTTACGACTGTGTTTTATGCTCAAAATCCGTAAGAACATAGTGAGTTGGTCCGAACAGTCACACACTAAAACATGCACACAGAAATTGTTGGAGATGAAAGCGTGGCAGATTTACAGGGCGAACCCTATCCCTGACAACTTGATCCACTATCTATGGCATCGTAATTACTGTGCCACACTTGTCCGTGAGGACAAATTAGTACACCCATCGAGTCTAGCGGAAAGGAAAAAGGTAGGATAAGGTTTTTCTACAGACCTGTGAACAGCCTCCGGGGTGTGAAGCTTGGTGTTCACCTACTAATATCAACAGATTGATGCGCTCAAACCGCCGATGATTCAGCCAACATTCTATGACTACAATATGCTCCAAATTTTCGACGTGTTACCAGCAGATATAACATACCTGTCCCATTCTCCCATTCGCCAGTATTTACCCAAGTCCCGTTTAGTTCAGCGACCATTTGAAGCACTCATAGTACCCCGGAGTTTGCAACATTTCCCCGAAAGCTTTGCAGGTGGAATCTATGAGGATAGCACAGCATTTAACGAGCTTTTTCCAAAGATGCCTGGAGGCACAGCAGATCGTCAACATTTGGGGACAATGCATCATCACCTCGATTTTCTAGATTGGTAGTCTTTCAGATCACCCCCAGTGATTCTCCTCCCGGTGCTCTCAAAGCTGTTGGAGTCGATCAAAGCTGAAACTCTAAGGGGCTATTTTGAATGGTCTGTCATAGCACCGGAGCAACTCGGATTCCGTCAGCATCGGCCATGTACTACCAACCTACTGATTGCCCGTGACAGTTGAGCCGAGATAGCCGACAGTGTTACCGGCGTTGATGTCATCTACTTCGACCTTTCTATAGTCTTTAACCCCTTAAACCACCATATCCTTCGCCAAAATCTGCAAGCTTACGGGATTAGGAACCTAAATCTTTGATGGATAGAAAATTTCATCCTTCAGCGGCGCCTACAGGTTTGATTTCGGAGCCATTTTCTTATTCAATTAATGTGCACTGCTGTGTTCCATGAGGGTCAGTGTTGGGAACTCGCTTATTCTTGTTCTTCAGTAAGGACCTAGCGCGTGTCATCGAGTCGAAATACCTGCTTGTTACCGATGACCTCAAGATATGGCAAGAGATGGGCCATCAGGAAGATCACGATATGCTGCAACTAGACTTAGACCGTGAGTTTGAATGATCAAAATAAAATCTACTTCCGTTCAACGCGGTCAAGTGCAGAACTGTGCATGTCCACCACAAATTCATTAACGCATATAAGCTTGGAGACCACATGTTAAAGACCGCCACACAGGAGCTAGGTTGCCAACAGAGATCCGGCTAAAGGCCGCTGGTGAACAACCAAAAGTCGGAAGCATTTGGATGGAACTTGCAAACGCTACAAATTCTTTATTTGAACAGTCAAGCGCAGAGACCGACACAACAGCGCCCACGGCACACAGGAGGACCGAGCACAGCACGAGTGAAACGTCTGTTCAGAAACGCTCAACAATTCCATGCTACTTGACTGAAATACATCAAACAAAAGAACGTTTAATGAACAGCCACCTAACGGCCGGCTTAAAGACGAACACAAAGTTGACATCTATCAATGAACTCCTAACAACAAAAGCCCTATCTTGCATGTACACAAATGCCCAAGCCTTCTAAGCAAGTTGACAGAACTTAGAGAACTCCATGCCTCACAACCGCGGGACCTCGTCATGATTACAGAGACATGGTTAAACCATGAGATAACCAATTCTGAGATCAATTTACCTGGTATGTCGCTGCTTCGGACCGAGAGAACCGGAAGTGGTGGCGGTGTGATTCTTTACTATAATACAAACCTCCGATGTGAAGTTATCGATCACCCGGAAATCCGAGCTCCCGATTCGCTTTGGTGCCGCCTATGGTTTCGAAACAAGGACACATGTCTACTAGCCGTGATTTATCGCCCACCAAACTCAACGTCGGAAATGGACTCCAAACTGAACCATGTTTTTCAGTTTGCTTTGAACAAGTCCTACACCCACATTCTTATCGCTGGAGACTTTAATGTGCATGACATAGAAACGCCGGCAACCGATGGTATGCAGTTTAAAGCCTGCTTGAAAGAGCTAATTGCTAGTCACCCTCTGTATAACCACGTAACCACTACCACCAGATTTCGAACTGCTAACAAGCCGTCGATACTGGATCTTGTGCTTACTAACGAAGGACTCACGGATGATGGGATAGTTACAAGTACACCACTGGGTCATAGTGATCATGTTACTCTTCTCTTTGGCTATATATGCTATGCGGAGTACCCTGAAAAGGAGGAGGATAAAGTGCATACTGTCACGCACTACAATGTGCTGTCTAAGCTTGTTAAGGATACGTCTTGGACTTTCTTAACCGAATTCCCCCAGATGTTGCCTGGGAAACCTTTACAAGGACCTTTATCGCACTGGTTGCACACGCATGGGAACAGAGGTCTTTCCAACCCGAAAACAAGCACAAGTCATTTCTGAGGAGCAGAACACGTAAATGTATGTCCCCGAGGGATTTGGCATGGCGAGATCACCAGGACTGCCCGAATGCCGTAACCTGGACTGCATACGTGACACATCGTAACTTCTGTGTGAAACTGATCCGCGAAGACAAGGTCACTCATCAGCAGGGGTTAATGAATCGATTCTGCACGAACCGCAAACTCCTGTACAGGCACGGTAACAGCCTTCGAAAGGTGAAGCGGGTGGTTCCAGCGCCAGTCACGGCTGATACGTGCACGCGATCAGCAATGGAAGCAGCTGATCTCCTACGGCTTCATTACTCTCTAATTTTCCAGCAGGTAACGAGCCCAAACATTCTCCTCATTTCTAATACTCCACCACCGGGTTTAGACAACATCATCTTCACCGCGGAAGCTCTGTTGAAGAAGTTGTTATGCTTGCGTATCCACAGTTCTCCCGGAGCCGAAAACATCCGACCAATGGCTTTGCATACGGTAGCTAATGATCTAGCAGAACCACTGGCTGTTTTCTATCAGTGATGTCTAGAAGAGAACCGTATTCCACGAGTATGGAAGCGAGGGATCATCGCTTCTATCCATAAAGGAGGTAGCCGCACTGACCCTGCCAACTACCGTCCAATAACACTACTTCCTGTACTATCCAAAGTGATGGAATCAATCATCGCAGACGCGCTGATGCAATACCTGGAAAGCCACAATTTAATAGCCCCAGAGCAACATGGCTTTTGTCAAAAGCATTCGTTTAATACCAACTTATTAACTGCACGTAACAGCTGAACTGAAGCTGTTGATGAAGGAGCAGGAGTCGATGTCATCTACCTGGACTTTTCAAAAGCCTTTGATCGCTTAAACCATGGCACTCTCTTTCAGAAGCTTCGGAATTACGACATTGGCGACCCAATCCTGTTGGATTGACAATTTTCTACAAGAACGACGGCTAGTGGTGAGAGTTCGAGAATCATTGTCTGATGCAATCGATGTGATACGGGGAGTACCACAAGGCTCGGTTCTTGGACTTCGTCTATTCTTAGTGTTTATTAACGATTTGACGAGATCAATTACTTCCGATTTCCTATTTTTCGCTGATGATATCAAGATATGACGAAGGATCAGAGGACCGCAAGACCATGGACGGCTCCAGTGCAATCTTAACACAGTGTCGAACTGGTCAGTTCAAAAGCCTTACCATTCAACGTAGACAAATGTCGCGTTGTACAACTACGCTATAGGCATAACTACACCTATTTACTTTGGACAAACGGATTGCAGACCAGCTCCCAGGAAAGTGACCTTGGTGTGATCGTACAGAGCGACCTCAACTGTTCAAAACAGGCTGAGGTAGCTGCGAAAAGAGGCAACCAGCACATCGGCATGCTGCGAAGGGCATTCGGGAGATTTGACCCATCAATCTTCCCAATGATGCACAATTCCTACGTGCGCCCACATGTTAAATACGCTATGCAAATTTGGCAATCTTGGTTGAAGCGCGACCTAGAAGCGATAGAGGAACCACAACGAAGAGCAACCAAGAATGTGAAGGGTCTGCGCTATCTCTCTTACCACGGAAGGCTGAAGTTGCTGGAAATTTTCAGCGGACGCTATCGAAGGCTGCGCGGGGATCTCATATTAGTGTATCAGATACTGAGTGACCCCAACCACGTATGCCGCCATTTGCTGAAACAGCCACAACACGTAGCTCAGGGGTAACTGCTTAAAGTTGAAGGAACAATATAGCCGTCTAGTGTCGACGGAATTACTTTTCCCTTCGGGTTTGCCAACCCTGTAACGCACTCCCGGACTCAGTTGTATCCTCTCCTACCTTGGACGTTTTCAAAAAACAGCTAAATTTTGCTCTTAGCTCTTAGCATTTGGTTACCTAAACTCCTCTATTATGGATTGCGCCAAGCATGCTTTTCAACAGGATTTATATTTCAAATGGGCCTAAGTGAACGATCATGTTTTACTTTTCTCACTCCTTACACCAACGATCACTGAACCACAGTGTCTTTCTGAACGTTTACGCTCGATAATTTTTTAATGTTGCACTGATGTTAATTATCAAAGTATTCATCTCGGCAGACGTTCGATAGATGACCCAGATATATTTTGATTTCATCATATTCACCTCAACCATCCTATGAGAAGTGTCAAGCACTTGCTTTTATTCCGTGATAAATCATTGTTCAATGTTCATCTTGGGGTGTTGATGCAATACGACGTCGGCTGTTTGATGCAGTCATTGAAGGCGTCCAAAACCGCAGACAAACATGTTGTTCTCTTACGGAGTGCCTTCAAGAGGTTCGATCCCTTCATCTATCCAAAAATGCTCAATGCGAATGTGAAGCCCATTTAGAGTGCGCGATCCAGACTTGGCAACCATGGTTAAAACGCGGACTGACTGCACTGGGGAAAGCACAACCAAGGGCAACGAAAGATGTGAAGGGATTGTCCCACCTGTCATACCACATGCGAGTGAAAGCTCTGGGAGTGTACAGCGGAAGTTATCGGCGTATTTGAGACTTACTCATTTTGGTGTAGCCGAAATTGAAAAACCCTGGTCACACTTTCCACCACCTTCCAAAGGTTAACCGGAACACAAAGTTGGAGGTTATATTTGGGTGTTGCTCATCCCAACACTGGCACACCTCGATCGTGGTTTCGTCCTGCTTTGGACTCATCAGGTGAAGATAGCCTGAGCTAGGGTGGAACTCAGAGCTTAGTACTTCACGGCTGACTCCCCGAACACTATACTACTCAGATCCGCAAGTAACGCTTGACACAGCGGAAAGTAATTCAAAACTGCATTTAAGGAGCACGCTGTGGTTGGGTTGCGACTCGCAACCTCTATTGAGATCTCGGCTTACTTTAAGGTAAACCTCGGTCATTCCGCTCTTGTGGACCGTATCTTGAATGGATATATCTGTGTGTTGCTCTTCCCAACCCTGGCACACCACGACCGCGGTTTCGTCTTGGTTTAGACTGGTCAGGTGGAGATAGCCTGAGCTGGGGTGGAACTCAGAGCTTAGTACTTCATGGCTGACGCCCTGAACACTATGCTACTGAGATCCGCGAGCAACGCTTGGCACAGCGGATAAGGTCCTCGAGATCGGAATGACCAAGGTTTACCTTAAAGTGAGCCTAGGACTCAATAGAGGTTGCGAGTCGCAACCCAACCACACAGCGTGCTCCCTAAATTCAGTTTTGAAAGTTGAAGGTTCATCATCTGAAACTGGCTACCCAATACGGTCGGCTGGAGGGCCACTGGAATTACTTTTCCTTTTCGAAATTTGTCAAGCGTGGAACGCCTTTGCTAATTTTGTCATTTCTTTACCTACGCTACGCAATTTAAAAGTTTGACTGGAAGTTGTTTTACACCACCTGCCTTGCACTTGATCTGATTCCCGTTCAGTGAGTGACAACAAATTGCAGATAAATATTGTGCTCACTAACCTCCAATAAATAGGGCTAGACCGAGATACCTTTGTGTTAACGTAGGTAATATGGTGAGTCCACAGATGCATTTTTCAATTTTGTGTAACATTTTCTTGAGCTAACCTTATTCCCACAGACTATCCCACGGGACTTATTAAGCCTTGACATTTTTATCAGTATTATACCATTGTTCTATTGTTTTGAACTCATGGGGTCGGAACCATTCAGGTGACCGAGATTCAGAAGGTTGAAAAGCTATCCGATGCTTTTCCAGACGAATAGGAACTTGCGTGACTGAGAGTGGACTTCGAGGAACTACATTTGAAATAGTGAGTACTTGGACTTTGATTGGAAGGACTTATTGTTTGTTCCGCTGTAGTCCAGCAATCCGCGTAATTTCACGGCACCCACAGATAACAGCAAATAAATCCATGGTAAACTCCAGGAGTAGGATGGAGACAACGCTAAGCGTTAAACTGCAACTGGCGGCGTGCGTCATCTAACCATCTTTAAAATATTGCAAGTGTCGGTGCAGAGACGACTGATTCAAAGTGAGCATTCCATGGGTAACAGACGCGAATGGAAAATAAATTTCTGCGGCACTCCAAACGGCTATGCTGTACGGCGAGTTTCATTAAGTGACCTCTCAGGTTTGTATTGCTGTTAAGTTGCAGTAAGGAGCGGCACACATGACGTTTATCGTGCAGAATCAATTAGGCCATTATCGGATCGCCCCGTAATCTGCGATATCGTCTGCCAAATACCCCCAATCATTTCAACCTCTCCTCGTATGGGAGATTCACATTCCAATGATGCAATTGGACGCACGACGTTGAGGCTGTCACAGTGCAGTGAGGTAGTGTTTCAGCCATGAATGCCAGGCTTGAATTGCATCTTCGACATGGCGAAGAACAGACGCACTGTATAGCTGTCGAAAAATAGATATGTCTATTTGTCCGAATGCCAATCGCACAGTCCGACTTGTTGGTTACCAGTTTTCGAGGATTTTCTGACTGCCGTGAAGAACCTAAGTCATATTGAACCTGAACACACACACAGTGGTAACGTTCGACAGACGATTGCTGTAGTACATGCGTTCCGAGCCCATATGGGTAGCTGCTCTTGGGTCGTATGTAGTTCTTTACATTTACTCACGTTGAAGTGCATCAGGTTTTAGATTGACTATCGATGTATCCGGGCTGGATCACTCTAAAGCAGATGCTGGTCAGCATTCACCTGAATCCTCCGTCAAACCTTGATATCATGAGCAAACAGTAGGAGGTTTGAATCGATTGACTTTGTGAAATCATTAGTAAACACCGAAGACAGTCGTGTACCAAGAACCTAACCCTGAGGCACACAACACTCGACTTGTGGGTCTTGTAAGGTTATGCTTTTTCTTCCATCACACTATTGTGTGGGGTCAGATAAAGAGGTCCGGACTCTGTTCACTGATTGCCATTGAAGAAGAAAGTTGGAAATCCTGTTCAGAAGCGAGTCAACTATCCCGCAATACTTGAGCTTGGAAAGAAGTATCCAATAATCTAGACGATAGAATACCTTCGA